TGAAATACATCAATTGGTATTCCATCAATTCCCGGGACCTTGTTTTTCGCCAATTCCTTTAAAGCAGCTTGAACTTCCTTCTTCATGACCAGTTCCTCTTGACTCAGAAATCTTAATAGGACAAGGAACTTGGCTGGCTGGTTAGCAGCCAGATGATTACTGTACTACCAAGGCTTTCTTAGTTACTAATTGTGACCCTTTTCAGAGAAAACCTTAGCTGTTGACTTCTCTGTAGTTCAACAGCTGGTACATTACACCTATAAAACAGTGATTTTTCATTCCATTGATTACATTAAAACACATTGCAACACAGTGTACACAATACACTTACTTACATACCTACTCACACAAACATCATGAAACAACACTTAACCTACTTTAACCGACCTCATGAAACAACACTTAACCTACTTTAACCGACCTCACTGCTCTCTACTAATAGCTGATCCTCATTTGGGTTTCTGAAGCTGTAAGGAGATTCCCTATCTTTCTCCTGAGGAGCCCCTGGTGTGATTGTCTTATGTATAGTAAATACTGTGAAGACATAGTCATTAAAAAGGTGAGGGCTGCGTGTACATAAGGAACAGAGAAACATTGCTTTGAAAACAAACACCTGAGTAGACACCTATTAAAACAAGAGCCACTAGAGAGTTTGCCATTTTAACACACCAATTACCTAGGCTGACTGTAGAATTTGCCATCTGCTTGTTATATATATATTTTTCATTAATTTTAATGAAAGTTTACAGAAACTTAGGGTTTCCAGTCATTCATTGTTGCACTTTTCTCCCTATCCAAATCCTCCCCCCAATTCACTCTTCTCCTTGAAAAGAAAGAAAAACTCTTTCATTGTTATACAATCCCTCCCCCCAAGTCCACTCCACTATGCAGCCTTCACTCTGGACTTCTGTAATAACAAGAATACCCATTCACATATCCCTTTTAAACAGTTCTCTCCCTCATCTGTTTCAATGAAATATACATCATTCCTCCCCTCCTTTTCTGTCTTCCCTCAACCCTGATTTCAGTCCCATTTTACAACAGTGGCCCTATGCAATATTTAAGACTCCACCTCTTAATGGGAGGAACATCAAAGTCATATGCAGAAGACCCTGCAAAGAGAGATAGTAGGGATCTGCAAAATTACCAAAGAGACCTTCAAAGATAATGTGATAGGGGCAGGAAGAAAGGGGAGTCAGAATGAAGGAGATGAAGAACAGGAGGCTGTAGGCTCCAAGCGGGATGGGAGAAGCCGAAAGGGTCATTTGGAAATGGCCCTACCCTATACGCACTGGTGCTCCTTTCCCATAGCAAGCCCTGGTAATCCGAGGAGGAGAGAGGATACAGATCAATGTACAAGACGTGGTATTGGGAGACCTGGTAGAAGTGAAGGGTGGAGACCGAATCCCAGCTGACATCCGACTTATTGCATCACAAGGATGTAAGGTGAGGGGAGGTGGATTGCTATGGGAGGGAGTGAAAGGTGGTTTAAAGGCATTGTAGTTACCTGGGCTCAATGAAAGACAGTAGGATCTGATCATGCAGAGCCTTGACAAGTTACCAGTGCTGTTTGAGCTTACAGACAAGGTGCCAGTGAGCAGACCTAAGCTCCTCTCTTAAGTTAGAAACACTGATGAGCAGGTCATCTTCATTAATGAATCTGCTTCCCTCGGCCACTGCTCATCTTATGACCCATCTTCCCTTTCACCCCAGGTGGACAACTCATCCTTGACTGGAGAGTCAGAGCCCCAGAACCGCTCCCCAGAGTTCACCCATGAGAACCCTCTAGAGACAAAAAACATCTGCTTCTTCTCCACCAACTGTGTGGAAGGTGAGTATCACGTCATTCAGAACCTATATATCCAAAAGCAGGGACTTAAGCAGAAAGAGCTTGAGAACTCTCTACTTACTAAAAAGTGCATAGCTACAAGGTTTTGGATCACCTAGCCTCTCCATCTCTCGTAGCCTCTCAGAGCCACCATTGCCGCATCTGCACAATGGCAATAATACAAGCCTCTATCCCACTGATAGTCAACTCATCACAAAAGGTCTAGTGTGTTGCGAGCGCCCTGGAACTGTCAGCTCTTATTACCCGAGTCAGTGGATGGATTATGCTCCAGGAGCAGGACCCTCCTCTCCAGATAGCATATTCAGGGGGACCTTAGAAATGGGGACCGTCAGCAGCTCTGCGCTAGGATGTTTCTGCGTCCTATTAGCTTGAAACTACCCTTGCTAAGCTGCATGTGTAGTTTGACAGGACCTTCTGGAGACCTAAATTAGTGTCAATTAAAAGAAGAAACTATTGAATGTCTACTGTGTGCTGTTTTAAGGTCCTTTAAAAAAAACAACACCTGTGTGAGAAATAAAATAAGAAATACGTTAAAAAACAAAACAAAACCCAAGGTGAGCTCTGGTGGCCTAGTGGCAAGAAGGTGTACTGCAATCCCAGAGGTGCATGGTTCAAATCCACCAGATGCTCTACTGGAGAAAGAGGAACAATCTCCTCCTGTACCAATCAGATCTGATTTGACAGTACACACACAAAATAATAAAAATTTTAAAAAACAAACAAACAAACAAAAACAACAACCCAAAACATATCTTTCACCTTTGCAGCTTTGTAGATACTTCATCTCATTTTAAGGACAAAGCTGAAACTAAGAGTTTAAGCTATTTGCTCCTGCAGCAAACAGCTAATACATTCCAAAACTGGGTTTCCAACTCCGAGACCAATTCTAACACGCATGCTATTTTCATGAGCAGTAAGCTGCTTTTCCGATACGGACTGTGAGTTTAATGGCAGGAACTTCTGACTTCATGGTAGAGCAGGGAGAAATTGAAATTTTGAACAAAGAACCTTGTTGGCAGCTCAGCTCAGGCCAGGCTGGTGCGTGGCCTGCAAGCATTTATGTACAAGTCCCCTTGTGTCAGGGGCAGTGCTGGTGGACAGGAGAAGAGGACCTTGCTACACACACTGGTACAGATGCTCTAAGCATTTATTTGTTAACTGAAAGATTGGAGGTTTTAAGCACTCACAGGTCCCACGGAATAAAATCCTAGCTGGATTTTTTTTTCAATCAGCCTTTGAAAACCCTATTGACCACTATTCTACCATGACACATGTAGGGTAGCCTTCCTTTAGAATCATCTAGAAGGCACCTGGTTGTCCCCTGCACCCCCTCCTTGACACAGAAGTCCGAGTGTTATGGCCTGTGCTACCCACCAGGGGTCAGCCTGGCTCTAGCCAGGGCAAAGCAGGGAGGGGCTCAGGTTAGGGGAGGCTTTCTCAATTTTGCCACTGCTGACATTTGGGGCTGCAGAAGTCTTTGTTGTAGGGCCTGCCCAATGCACTGCAGGGTGTTTAACAATATCTCTGCCTTCTACCCATAGATGTGAGTAGTCCCCACCCCTCAACACCCCACCCCTGCCCAGCCAAAAATTAGATTGTGCCAAATGCCCCTTGGGGATCACTCCTAGTTATTAATCACTGTGGTAGAGCAGAGCAAAGGGGATATTAGGACCTAGGACTCCACCAGAAGGGTGTAGCCACTGTTCCTGGGGATCTAGGGACTATTTAGTTGTTAAGGACAAAACCAGAAAAAATATAGGAGGGGAAAAGATATTACGTTTAAAGAAGACCTTCAAGATAGTGAAGGAAATGAGGCAACAAAATTGGGTATCTCTGGAGAACTGATTTTTTTTTTTAAGACTGGGAGAGACCTGCATTTATATGAGCTAAATGTGAAGAGAATATAACATGGCAACCTCTCAGAGGATCTTTCATGTCCGAGGATCTTTCATGTCCATCTGTCTGTGACCATGGAAAGCTTTCTCTTCTTAGGAACCAACTCTAACAGGCTTCCCGATTCAGACTTGGGGTTTCTCTGTGACTGTCCTTTCTCTTCTCTCACAGGCACAGGGCGGGGCATTGTGATTGCTACTGGAGATGATACCGTGATAGGACGCATTGCCTCGCTGACCTCGGGCCTGACAACCGGCAAAACTCCCATTTCCATTGAGATTGAGCACTTCATCCATCTGATCACCGTGGTGGCCCTCGTCCTGGGGATCTCTTTCTTTGTGCTCTCGCTTCTCTTGGGCTACGGCTGGCTGCAGGCAGTCATTTTTCTAATTGGCATCATTGTGGCCAATGTGCCTGAGGGGCTACTGGCTACTGTCACTGTGAGTAGACAAAGCGAGAGGTGATCTTGGGGAGCGCGGATCACCTTAGGGAAACAAAATTGCCCATGTCTCTTTCATCGTTGAAATTCTCAAACATATTCATAATCTATATTAAGTTATCGGGAATAATATACCCAAACCTCTCATGGCTGTCAAGACAGAATCAATTAATAGCTGACCCTCCATAGGTTTCCAACGGCTGTAAATGACACGAGAAGAGATTGACCATCTTTCTCCCATAGAACTGCACAACTGTACGGGCCAAGCCATTGAGCTCCCAAAGTGACATTGACCCCCTCTACCTACGTTTTCTCGAGCCTTCTCTTTCCTTTCAGCGAGCAAGCTATGAAGAGGGCAGCCGTGAGTTACAAATCACCATTGGACTATGTCCACCATTACCCTGTCTTTTCAGGTCCCCACTGGATCTTTCCCACTTCCTTTACCCCCTCCGTCCACCTTTACGGTAACTTGTTTGTACAGAAGCGTCTGTCTGCTATTTCTCCCACATAGTGACTGGTGGCTTCAAACTGCTGGCTTTTGGTTAGTAGTCTAATTCTTTAATCACTACACGACCAGGGTAAGCAACTCTAAGTAAATTTTATTGTACTGAGAAGCAATATGATTTCCTATTTTATATATCACTTTTTAAATTTTTTTTTTTTTTACTACTTGTTGTGTGCCGTCGAGTCAGGTCTGACTGGCACAGGAGGAGACTGCCCATCCTTCTCCAGCGGAGCATCTGGTGGATTCAAACTTCAGGATTGCAGCACAGCTTCTTGTCACTAGGCCACCAGAGCTCCCTCAATTTCCTATTTTATCTTAAAGAGTCTGGTGGGGCAAGGGGTTTGTTGTCTACTGCTAACCCCAAGATTGGCAGCTCAAACCCATCTAGAAGAGCCACAGAAGAAAAAAAGACTGACAAATTGCTTCCCTAAAGATTCCTAGGGAGGAAAATGTGCAACAATGAATGAATTTTTTTAAAAAATTAATTAACCCACTCCAAGATAAGAGCCAAGGAAAAAAAAACCTGTGGAGGGTTCTGTCCTGCATGTGTGGTGTCTTCCCGAATCACGGGCTCACTGGACAGCAGCTAAACACAAAACAAGTCACTTCTATCACATCTAGACATTACTCCTTTAGATACTCTGGGTGGGAGTTCAAACAATTCCTTTTTTTTTAAAGCCATTCTTCATATGGCCCCTTGTCTTGCTGGTCATCCATTTGGAATACAGATGAATATTCTGCTTTACGTAAAAGTGGGCAAATATTCTTGGATGTGGTTTGGTTAGTATAAAAACACTGGGACTTGTGATGTCATAAGTTATAATTCCATGATTAGAATTCTGTCCTTAAGTAACTATAGTTTAAGAATTCCTTGAAGTTCCTGGATGGCACAAACAGTTCTGTGATGTAAACAGACATAAAGAACTAATGTAAAAATTAGACATGCCTGAGGTGTGACAGCAGAAAGGGCTGGGGACTCAACTTCAGTGAACTTCACCAAAACCCCCGCGGAGCAATTTTACTCCGTGTAAAACCAGTATACACGTGGTTCCATGAGTTAGAATCAAGAGAATAGCTTGGGGTTTTTTCTGTCAGGGAGTTAGAGGAGGAGAACTCATTCAGCATTGATGTAATTTCATAAGATTTATGACTACCAAAAGTCTTCTGGTTTGAGTTGACTCCTCAAGTTACTTCAAGGTTTGTGATAGCCCTTCCCAATTTGATCATTCTCTCTTCCTCATTCTTTTTTTTTAAAACTATTGCTGTAACCTTTCTTTACACCTAGTATCTCATACCACAATAAGAGATGATGGTCCATGGAAAGATTGGATTTAAGAAGAAGAGGTGGCCTGAGCGTTAATCAAAGGAGACTGCCGAATAGAAAAGACAAAAGAATTATGAAGGAGAGAAACATTCTGGAGGAATAAGGAGGCTCAGTTTCTAAAATACTGTGTTCAAACAATGCCTTTTTTTTTTTTTTAAATTTTTGTGTGTGTACCGTCAAATCGGATCTGACTGGTACTGGAGGAGATTGTCCCTCCTCCCCCGGCAGAGCATCTGGTGGATTTGAACCATGAGCCTCTGGGATTGCAATGCAGCTTTTTTGCCACTAGGCCACCAGAGCTCCCCTCAAACAATGCCTTCTTTTTTTCCCAAATTAGGATTTTTATTTTATTGGTAGAACTCATAACAAACCAATGACTATATAATAATAATACAACAACATCATCAAAACACTGCCACATAGCATGAACCTAAAATATTTTCCCAAATTTCTTTACCATCGCCACAGATGCAGCCTCCATAAGTGCAAACAAAAGGGAAGGAAGCAGAAAACAAGCTCAGACTTTCAAAATAACAAAGCGGTGTGAGGTGTTAACCTTTCCTCGTTTCCCTCTCTGGGTTTCAGGTGTGCCTGACCCTGACAGCCAAGCGCATGGCGTATAAGAACTGCCTGGTGAAGAACCTGGAGGCCGTGGAGACACTGGGCTCCACCTCCACCATCTGCTCTGACAAGACGGGGACCCTCACCCAGAACCGCATGACCGTCGCCCACATGTGGTTTGACAGGACCATATATAATGCTGACATCTCTGAAGACCAAGTTGGTGACTAGTGGTTTTGGTGGACCAAGAGGAGGATTTGAGGGGGGTAGTGAGGAGTGAGCTGACACGGCCTGATGAGTACAGACGGGAGAGGCTAGCTGGGAAGTGGACTAGAGGGGAGGAGTGGAGGAAAAGAAAAAGTACATCCATTCTGGCGTAAGAAACTGGATGTAACTCCTAGCTTCAGACTCAGCTCTCCCCTGCTCACAACTTTTCTCTCTCCCTAGAGCAAACATTTGCCAAACACTCTCCCACCTGGTTCACGCTGGCCAGAATTGCTGGCCTCTGCAACCGAGCTGACTTCAAGGCCAAGCAGGAGGCAGTGCCTATAATTAAGGTAATAGGCCTGAGGGAGAGGGTGGTCTTCAGTGTCCAGGGTGTAACTTGCCCTCATAAAACAAAAAGAAAAGAAATTTCTTTTCTGGGGATCAGTGATTTCCCCCCCCCCAGCATCTCCTCCCTAGCCTGCCCTTCTCCAGCCTATATGGGTGAGCCTGTGCTTACGCAAACTTCTCCTGGCAGCGAGAAACAACAGGTGATGCTTCCGAGTCGGCCCTGCTGAAGTTCATTGAGCAGTCTTACCGCTCTGTGAAGAGCATGAGAGAAAAGAACCCCAAAGTGGCCGAGATTCCCTTTAATTCTACCAACAAGTACCAGGTACAGAGGTGACAGAGGTGGGATGGTGAGACAGATGGGCTCATCACATGGGGTCATGGGAGCTTTGCCTTGGCCCAAAGCCACCTCTGAGGTGTAGAATAGAGAGAGAGGATAGCCAACATCTCGATTAAAAGGAAGTCTTGCTTTAAAAGGGTGGAGAGAAAGAGTACGTAATAAAGGTCAGTTCTAAGGTACCTAAGTGGATTGATTGATTTGCACTTGGACCTCTCCAGAGTGCTGAAAAGCAATTATGTCAGTCTAGAGACTGAGGTGTACCTGATCCAGGCCATGTTCTTCCCAATTACTTTCTATGCATCAGGGAGCTGGACAATGACTAGGATGACAGAAGAAGAATCAATGCTTTTGATTGTGGTGCTGGAGAAGAGTCTTGAATATGCCATGAACTGGAGAGGGTGAAACCAAGTTTCTCCTTGGAGGCTAAGATTTTGAAGCTCCATCTCACATACTTTGGGCATATGGTAGCCAGGAGGGACCAGTCCTTGGAGAAGGACATCATACTTGGAAGGGTGGGTGGACAGCTCATGAGAGGAAGACCCTGGCTGAGATGGATTGATACAGTGACTGGGACAATGGGTGTTGGTGTGTTGAAATTAGTGAGACTGGCTCAGGACAGGGAAGGGTTCAGAGGTGCTGTATATAGGGTCGCAATGGGTCTCAGGTGACTCAATGGCACGTAACAACAACAACAACAACTAGACCCTCAAGGGGATGGATATACTCTGTGATGCAGCAGTGGGCTCAAGTGTGCCAGAGATGATGAGGCTGGCACGGGATAGGGCAGGGTTCAGTCAGGCCTGTTGTTCATAGGGGCTGTAAGAGTCAAACTCGACTCAACTGCACCTAACACCAGCCTGATCCAAAAGCTCATGATTTGAATTTTTCCACTGACGCTGTGGAAGAGAGATCTAGTGATTTGCTTCTGTAACGATTACAGCAAGAAAATACCAGGTTTCCTCTATAATACACGAGGTCACCATGACTCGGAGCTGGCTCAGTCCTGACAAATCCTAATCAAAGCTCTGAGCTGGTGCCTCTTTGGGAAGAGCCAATCACAATATGCTCTCAGAAAGGCCTGTGAGTAGCAAAAGCTGGCAGATGAAAGGTCACATGTTTTTCTGTTTTTAAAATACCACACAATCAAATATCAATCTAGATAGATGGTGTAACCTGTCAGACAGCTAACCAAAAGACCAGGGGTTTGATCCCACCATCAGGAGGTAGATGTGGCAGTCTGCTCTGATGAAGATTCCTAGCTCTGGGAACCCTCTGGGATGGTTTACTCTGTCCTATAAGCTGTTTTGAGTGGGAATCAGCTGCAAGGCAGTGAATTTGTGTGGGGTTTATGCTTTCATATAAGGAGCCCGATGGTGCAACCGTAAAGCTCTCAGGTGGTGGTCTGAACCCATTTAGCAGTTCTGCTTCTGGAAAGATCATTGTTGTGCCCACGTCGAGCCCATTTTCAGCTCTTTTTCTCCCAAGGAGTAGGTTTGAATTGCCAACCTTTTGGTTATCAGCCAAGCCCTCCTCCAAACCATAGCACCACCTTGGGCTTCTATAAAGATCACAACCAAGAAGACTCTGTGGGGCATTTCCACTGTCATTTGGGGTTTCTGCAAGTTGGTATCAGTTCAATGGCACTCATCGAGAACCACATACTTTCCTATTGAACACTGAGCATATAAAGGTTAAAGAGAACCGTACTTTTCTATCTCCCAAAAAACTGGCATTCGGGTAGTGTGGTATAACAAGCTTCCTGGGCCCAGACTGTACACTTAACTTTCCTAGTCAGTGGCATCACGAGGATGTGCATCACCCAGCGTAGTACCTCATGGTGCCTCCCCCCCATGGACCTCCACTCAATACCAGACCATATAGAACTTCAGTAATACATTTTTTCCCATTTTGATCATAGAATAATGATAGTATAAATGTAGTTAAATGATTGAGATGTAGTATTTCCTTGATTATATGAGGACTAATAACAAAATCTGACTCAAAGAGTCAGCTAACAGATGCTGCCCTGGATGTGCTCACCATGTTGTACCAAGAAATCTGGAGAACAACCACTTGGCCAACTGACTGGAAGAGATCTGTATTTGTTCCCATCCCAAAGAAAGGTGACCCAACAGAGTGTAGAAACTACAGAACAATATCATTGATTTCATATGCAAGCAAGATTTTACTGAAGATTATCCAAAAATGACTGGAACAGCACATCAGCAGAGAACTGCCAAAAGTCCACGCTGGGTTTAGAATGGGTCGTGGTACTAGGGATATTGTAGCTGATGTTAGACGGATCTTAGCTGAAAGCAGGGAATACCAAAAGAATGTCTATCTGTGTTTCATTGATTATGCAAAGGCATTTGACTGTGTGGATCATAACAAACTGTGGCTGACTCTGGGAAGAATGGGAATCCCAGAACATTTAATTGTGCTAATGTGAAACCTATACTTGGACCAGAGGCAGTTGTCAGAAGAGAGCAAGGAAACACCGCATGGTTCAAAATTGGGAAGGGTGTACACCAGGGATGTGTCCTATCTCCATACCTTTTCAATCTGTATTCAGAGCAGATTATCCAAGAGGCTGGGCTCTATGAGGAGAAGTGTGGTGTCAGGATTGGTGGAAGATCTATTAACAATCTGCGTTATGCAGATGACACAACCCTGCTTGCCGAAACTGAGGAGGACCTCAAGCACTTGCTGCAGAGGGTCAAGGACTGCAGCCTTCAGTATGGATTGAGGCTCAATGTCAAGAAGACAAAGATTCTCACCGCTGGACCAATTGGTAGCATCAGGATGGATGGCGAAGAGATTGAGATTGTTCACAGCTTCAGTTTGCTCCGCTCCAGGGTCAACACACCTGGCACCAGCAGCCAGGAAATAAAAAAACATATTACGATGGGGAAGTCTGCTGTTAGGGACCTCTCTAAAGTACTCAAGAGCAACAGTGTCTCTCTGGAGACTAAGGTGCACCTGATACATGCCATGGTCTTTGCAATCACTTGTTATGCATCAGAGAGTTGGACAATGACTAGGGAGGATAGAAGGAGAATTGATTCCTTTGAGCTGTGGTGCTGGAGAAGAGTATTGAATGTTCCCTGGACTGCCAAGAAAACAAACAGATTCATCCTGGAGAGGGTTAAACCAGCCTACTCCTTGGAGTCAAGGATTCTGGGACTTCGTCTGACATACTTTGCACATGTAAGGAGAGACAGGTCCTTGGAGAGGGACATCATGCTTGGGAGGTTGGAGGGACAGCGCAGGAGGGGAAGGCCCTCTATGAGGTGGATTGATTCAGTGACTGGGGTAATCAGGATGGGTGTGTCAGAGGCAATGCGATTGGCACAGGATAGAGCAGGGTTTAGGGCTGCTGTACATATGAGTCGCAAACGACTCGACGGCACATAACAACAACAACAACAAAATAGTTCTATGAAATCTTTCTATATGGAATTATATTATTATTTACAATATTATTAGTAACTCAGGGGGCTTCTGGTGTACAAGTTGCCGTCCCACGGTCACTTGTGATTGCTGTGAGGCTGAACATTTTGACACGGATGTGTCAAATGCGTTAATGGTTGGCTACCCAATGCGGACTGAGAGTGGGGTGGAGCTCCCCGATTAAACAAGCGTGGAAGGAGGAGTGTTATCCACCACTTCCATAATAGCTTGCTTCTGGAAACCCTATGAACCTGGAGAGAGGATGAAAGGCACCCAAGCATCAAGGACTCTCCTTCATAGGGTCACTATGAGTCGCCTGCAACTCGACGGCACTTAACAACAACAACAACAGGGGGCTTAGTGGTAAGAAGTCGCACTGCCAACCCAAATGCATGCTGTTCAAATCCACCAGCTGCTCTGCAGGAAAAAGATGGGCTATCTGATTTGGTTTACTGCGTCTGAAAACCTACTGGAGAGTCAGCTATGGGTCAATTCTGACTTGATAGTATGTAACAACAACAATGACAAAATAGTTTTAGGAAATCTTTTTTTATTATTTTGCGTGTGTGTGTATGTCAAATCAGATCTGACTGGTACAGGAGGAGATTGCCCCTCCTTCTCCAGCAGAGCATCTGGTGGATTCGAACCACTCACTTCTGGGATTGCAGTGCAGCTTCTTGACACTAGGCCACCAGAGCTCACCTGTAGAAATCTTTTTACATTGAGTTACATAATTAGTTGCAAATTTATTAGTAACTCAATGGAATCCATTTTTTCCCCACATTTTTAATTACTACTTCATGATCTGAAATGTTATTGACACAGGTTCACAAATACTGCTGTTGTTGTTGTTGTTAGATGTTCTCTAGTCTATTCTGGTTCACAGTGACCCTATTACAGCAGAATGAAACCCTGCCCAACCCTGCGCCACGTACATAATCTTTGTCATGCTCAAACCTATGGTTAGAGTCACCTGTCAATCCATTACATTGGAGGTTTTCCTCTTTGCTGTCGCTCCATTTTTTTCTAAGCATCATGTCTTTTTCCAAGAACTGGGCCCTCCAGATACCATGCTTAGTGTATATGCGATCAATTTCACCATCTTTGCCTCTAAGGAGCACTCTGGCAGCACCTCTTCCACTAACCACAGTGTTGTTGTTGAACGGTTGATAAAATCAGTAATTATAAAAATACCAGCAGCAACAAAAACAACAGCATGCTTGTAGTGTGTGCAAACAAATATGTGATGCAAATCGCCATGGAATTGGCTCATAATGAGGGTGCTGACTCGAGCGCTTTACAAGCTTCAGACCGTAATTCAGCAGGGTTTTAACCTTGGGGGAACATCGGTGTATGTGACTAAACTTAACCACAAAATATGTTTGTGCTTGTGAGTTGTTAGCACTCACTCCCGGGTTAGTTTATGAAAATGAACACATTCCTTCTGGGATGCTACACAAAAATGTTATAGACCATTGTTTTGATGTCACTCCCTTGGACAATGTCACCTGGTGTAGTGAGTGGCCTCACTAACCAGACAGGAATTTGGTGCCTGGCAAAGTCCCTTAAGGCCTTTAGTGGAAAGAATTTGATGCCTCTCCCTCCCTCTCTGTGATTCAAAATAAAAGCACTGTGAGTCTGCAAGGGTAAGATGAAAAACACCCTGAGTTTCCCCACATACAGACTACTTAGCACCTTTTCTGACATACTGATAACAAATTCAAACTGCAAAATCATTCTCTGTGGCACAGCGTAGCACTCAGGCCTTCCCCTGGCTACCCCTCAGGGGGCTTTGTGGAACCCCTTGCTGCTTTCACTTGATGAGCTTATTCTACGGGAGCTGGAGGTTCTGTTTGGTGGAGCCTTCTAAGCAGGCCTGCTCATTGTGGGCCTGGGCTCTCTCCTTCTCTATGACGTGTGTGTGTGTGTGTGTGTGTGTGTGTGTGTGTGTGTGTGTGTGAATGGAAGCCAGCTCTCAGTGCTGGCAATTCCAGATATTTCCTCCATCTTTTTGCCCTGTCAACATGTGATTTTTGTGACCGAGTTGCTAAGCAGTTTACTATCATCTTTGGGCCCTTTCACTCATTCACCAGATATTTCTTTCTATATTATTATTTTATTTTATATTGGTTTGCTTACAATTTTCATATACATTGTGTTTCACACTATTCTTCATTCCTATTGTGTTTCACACAATCATTCTCATGCATTATGTTTCATGAAATTAATCACCATTGGACAAAATATCTTGAGTCTTTAGAAAGTTGAGCGTTTTTAAACCTTTTATGGCTTTCTGCTGTAAATGAATTAGGCTTGCTCTCTGGAGTATTTAAGCATATTTTGAACATAACAGGATAGGGGTTTTTTGGTGTCTAGTGGAACAATATTGACCACTCAGTTTTTACGCACTGTTTTCTGTCTGGTTTATCATTTGAGAGGTGCCGTTCTGGCCTCCCCTGGGCTGTTTCATTTCTTTTCAACACAGGATTGTGTTACTTGAAAGGCTGTATAGCAAGAGTTTCCTATCAGTTGTTTAAAAACGAAAAATGCTGTTGAGTCATTTCCAACTCCTGGCAGCCGTATGTGGTTCATTGAGTTTTTAGTGACTTTAATCTTTCAGAAGGGACTTCACATGGCATCATAGGTAAGGAGTTGCAGTGCCAATCCAAAGGCAGGCAGTTCAAATCCACCAGTCACTCCAGAGGAGAGAGGTGGGCAGTCTCTTCAAATGGAATTTACAGCCTCTGAAAACCCACTGAGGCATCAGCTGCAAGTCAGTTCTGTCTCAGAGAAGAATCTTTCCAAGAGTACACTGTCAGGGAGTTCTGGTGGCCTACTGGCAAGAAGTTGCACTGCAATCCCAAGGCATGCAGTTCAAATCCACCAGATTATCCACTGGAAAAGGAAGGGCAGTCACCTCCTGTGCCAGGCAGATCTGATTTGATGGCACACAGAAGGAAAAAAAAAGAGTAGACTGCCACGTCTTTCTTCAAAGGTACCTCTGGGTAGATTTGAACCCATCTTTTTTGGTAGTAGTTGAGTGTTTATTTGTATCTCCCAGAGACATTTTTGTTTCTTTCCTTAGATCATAAATCAAAAGAGAAGACAAAACCTGAACTACTGCTCTCATTTCTTGTCAGGTTCACTTCATGAAATGTCCCCTCATACAAGCTCACTGACACCCAAGCTTGACTACCTGGCCCTCCCAGGGGACTTCGTGGGCTTTGAGGAAAAAGTGGCAAGGGGACGAGAAATGCTTGCCTATTTTTTAATTATGCTGCAGAGCATCCGAAACATTTTGTGCAAGTGTTTTCATAAAAAGCAAATTAAACAAGGCAGAGCCATTGACATTTTTGTGAAGGCACTAAAGTTTTAAGAGACAAAATGGATTGACCTGCTGAGGTCACAAAGCTGGGAAGTGTATTGGTGCTCCCCTAGAACACAGGTCTTTGGATGCAGATAGGTTTTCTTTCCTTCCTCAGCTGTCTGCCTTGACTCTCCCCACACTTCTGCTCTCCAGCAATCCAGTCAGAAAGGAAGCAGAGGTGAAGGGAGAGCGGCTGACTCTGCCCTCAGAAAGATAAAAGAGATGGACATGAAAACAACATCAGACTAAGGGTTCCTAGGAAGGGAAAGGGCCTTGGGTCAAGTGGTATTTTTTTTTTTCTTTCTTTTAACTGTGATACCATCGACTGGGCTTTTTAGCATGGTGGAGATTGTAAAGATGACGCTTGACAGGTCAAGGTTCCAAACTGTTGTTTATAGGGTCGCTATGAGTAGTAGCTGACTCAGTGGCACCTACCAATATATATCCTGGTGACACAAATAAGAGTTATGTGTTGGGCTGCTAACTAAAAGGTTGGCAGTTCAAACCTCCCCAGTAACTTCTTGGGAAAGACGATGCCATTTCCTCCTGTGACGATTTATCTAGCCTTGGAAACCAGCTCAATGGCAGTGAGTTCAGGGTTTTTTCCATCGATGGCACAAATGGTTAAACATTTGACTGGCAGTGGAAAGACTGGCTGTTCAAACCCACCAGTGGCTCCAGAAAGAAAGATCTGCTCTCATAAAAGTCATAGGGTTTTTTTTTGGTTTTTTGTTGGTTTTTTTTTTTTTTAAAAAAAAAGCGCAGTCAAGAAAAGCCAGTGAGGCAGCTCTCCTTTTTCTATGGGGGTTGCTGAAAAGCTGAAACCTCTTCAATGGCTCCTAATAACAACAAATTCAAATGCAGCAGAATATTTGGGCACACACAGTCTTTACATGCACAGTTCAGGGGCCATTGCGTTCCTCGTGTCTCACCAGGGGTCAGACTTGGGATTGGAGGACGATGGGAGTGGGAAGCAAGTCACTTCCTCTTTTTTACCCTCGAAACCTTTTGGCCCAGCCCTTGCTCTCTTCTGTTCCACCAATGTTTCTTCTTTCTTTAGATGTCCATCCACCTTATGGAAAACAACCCCAATGCTCACATGCTGCTGATGAAGGGTGCTCCTGAGAGAATCTTTGAATTTTGTTCTTCCTTCTTGCTGAACGGACAAGAGTACCCAATGGATGATGACATGAGGAGTGCCTTCAACCGTGCCTACCTGGAGCTGGGAGGTCTAGGGGAGCGTGTGTTAGGTGAGGGGGCCGTGGGGAAGGCTTTAAATAAATGGCACCAATCTGGCATTATTTGTGGGATGCACAATTTAACATGTTGGAGAAGAGGGGCCAGGGTCTTGGATGTCTCAGTGCCTGCTCACCTCTTCTTTCTCCACAGGGTTCTGTTTCTTGAATCTGCCTAGCAGTTATGGCAAGGGATTTCCTTTCAATACTGATGAAATCAATTTCCCCATGGAGAATCTTTGTTTTGTGGGGCTCATATCCATGATTGACCCTCCACGAGCAGCTGTGCCTGATGCTGTGAACAAGTGTCGTAGTGCAGGCATTAAGGTAAATCCCTGAGCACCCCAGAGACTGCCCTGCCCCCTCCCTGGTGCAGGTTGGAGCCGTTAGTGCAACGTCTTGCACAGAGTGAGTGCTTCATAATGTTGGTTACACTAAACTGATTTCTACTTTCCTGAACTTATACTATATTTTTCTTAAGAGGTGCCTGTCTTTTGAATTGCCTCATATGCTTGTGAAAGTTGGACAGTGAGATAGGAAAACAAAACAAAACAAAAAAGAAAGAAAAGAAAAGGATTGAGGCCTGTGGATCATAATTTTGGCAAAAGATATTCAACTCACTGCCAAAAGAACAAACATCTGTCTTGGAAGACATGCGGCCGGAGTGCTCCTTAGAAGCAAGGATGGTGAGACGGTCTCACACACTTTGAGGATCTTTTTTTTTTTTTTTAAAATTAATTTTAATGAAAGTTTACAGAGACTTAGGGTTTCCAGCCCTTCATTGTTACACTTTTCTCTGCCCTCCCCATTCACTCTTCTCCTTGAAAAGAAAAAGAAAAACTCTTTCATTATAATGTAATCCTTCCCCCCTAAGTCCACTCCACTGTGCAGCCTTCACTCTGGACTTCTGTAATGACAAGAATACCCATTCATATGTCCCTTTTAAACAGTTCTCGCCCTCATCTGTTCAAATGCAGTATACATCATTCTTCCTCTCCTTTTCAGTTTTCCCTCATGCCCAATGTCAGTCCTGTTTTACAACAGTGGTCCTATGCAATATTTGTCCTTTGTGACTGAGATATTTCAGCATAATGTTCTCCAGGGTCATCCATTTTGCAATGCTGCATAGTATTCCATTGTGTGAATATACCAGAACTTCTCTATCCATTCGTTTGTTAATAGGCACTTGGGTTGTTTCCAACTCTTTGCTATTGCGAACAAAGCCATGGGTGAGCACATATCTGCTTGGGTGGTGGTTATGGTTTCTTTAGGGTAAATTCCCAGTAGTGGAATTGCTGGGTCAAATGGTATTTCTGTTTGCAACTTTTTGAGAAAGTGCTATACAGCTATACAGCTTTCCACAGTGGTTGCACCATTTTACACTCCCACCAACAGTGAATAAGGGTTCCACTTTCTCCACAACCTTGCCAGCACTTGATGTTCACTATTCTGTTAAATTTTGCTATTCTTACTGGGGTGAGATGATATCTCATAGTTGTTTATTTATTATTATTATTATTATTATTATTATTATTATTATTATTATTAGAGTGTGTACTGTCAAATCGGATCTGACTGGTACTGGAGGAGATTGTCCCTCCTTCTCCAGCAGAGCATCTGGTGGATTCGAACTGTGCACCTCTGGGATTGCAGTGCAGCTTCTTGACACTAGGCCACCAGAGCTCCTTTTATATTTCATAGTTATTTTATTTGTATCTCTCTTAGAGCTAGGGATTTTGAACATTTTTTCATGTGTTTGTTGGCCATCTGAATGTCTTCTTTGGTGAAGTGTCTGTTCATATCCTGTGCCCATTTTTCAATAGGATTGTGGTGCTCGAGTATTTTTTTTAAATTCTAATAAGTCCCTTGTCTGACATGTCATTACCAAATATTTTTTCCCAATCTGTGGCTTCTCTTTTTACCCTGTTGGAGAAGTTTCTGTATGTGCCTAGGGATTTAATTCTTAGAAGGTCCCATTCATCTGTTTTATCCTCTCCTGGTTGTAGAACACTTTGAGTATCTTATCAGGAGGGACCAGTCCCCGGGGAAAGACCTCGTACTTGGAAAAGGAAAAGGTCAGGGAAAGAGAGGCCGACTCTCACTGTGACTGCAGCAGTGGCCTTAGACACAGCTGAGAAAATGAGGATGGTGCAGAACCAGAAAAGGCTTTATTCTCTTGCACATAAGGTTGCTATGAGTGGGAGCAGAGTCAAGGGCACCTAACAACAACACAGTCCCCTCTATAGTTAGAAGCCTGACTTGTACCACACATCCCATTCACAAGGGCAGCTCTAAAAATCTGATTCCCAGGCACAACTCAGACCAATTAAATTAGAAATTCTTAGAATATGAATCAAGGGGCTCCAGTGCTGCCACAGTTATACCTTCAGCTGCCAACGGAAAGGTCGCTTATTCACATCCTCCTCATTGTTGTGGCCGTAAGCCAACTCGTAGCTAACTGTCCAGCAGGTTTTCAGAGGCTGTAAAGCACACAGGAAGGGACTGCCCATCAGAGCAGCCAGTGAATTCAAACCACATGCTTCTGGGTTGACATTGTGTCTCCTTACACTAAGCCACCAGACTTCCCTAGAGATTGCGGCCTAGGAAATCCAACAGAGCATTTCTACTTTGTCACACAGGATGGCTCTGAGTCAAAAATCAGCTCAAACAGTATCTAAAGACAATAATACGGTAGAGCCCAGGCATCTGTACGGTTGTTCTATGCCACCGAGTTGACCACAACTCACAGGGACCCTATGAGCAATAGATCTGAACGTTGCCCTGTCCTGAGCCGACCTCACCCTCTCTGACACACCTGTCCCCATTGCCACAGTTACTCAGTCAATCCATCTCACCCAAGGTCTGCCTCTCCTGCTCTGACCGTCTTCCCTTCCAAGCATAACGTCCTTCTCCAAGGACTGGTCCAAAAGTCAACAATCTTTTCGAGAGATCCCAATGTGTTGTCAAGCTTTGTTTGTCATCATCTTTGTGCCACCGAGTTTGAGAATCAGCGTGTGAGGGCAGTGCTTCCCAGACTTGAATGTGTGTGAAAACCACATGGGGATTCTGCTAAAATGCAGGTGGCTGTGATTCCGTGGCTCAACACTACCCCACAAGTCTACAGAATGGTCTCTTTGCTGCTGGTCTGAATGTCACACTTGTTGTTATCGTCAAGTTGTCTATGCTGATAGTGACCCTGTAATATCAGACCCAGCCTGTCCTGTGCCGTCCACATCCTTTCTGATATGCTAGAACCCATTGCTATGTCAATCGGTCTTGTTGAGAGTCTTCCTAGCTTTTGCTGACTGTCCATCATTCCAAGTATGATGTCCTCCTCCAAGGACTGGACCTTTCTAACAACACACCCAAAATATGTGAGAAAAAGAGTCAAAATCCTTGCCTTCAGCTTAAATTGTTGTTGTTGATTGCCTTCGAGTCGAGCACAACTCATAGCGACCCTATGAACAAAAGGCCTGAAGCCTCTCTCAAAGTTCATAGAGTTTCCGGAGGCATAGGAGTATCAACATTTTAGAAGATGCCATCTATGTGAGGTGAGTTATGATTTTTGTTGACAGCACATAAAAAATAACAAAATATTAGAAATGGACACCTTCCCTGACCACATCTGGTATTCTAAATAATAATCTGCAACTAGCACAGATCTTAGACTCCAGGGGTTTGAGGAGGGATGGCATGTTCGAGCAGAGGTGCATTTGGAAATGTTTAAAGAGATCGACCTCTAGTGACCCTGTGGTGAGGAGCAGTGTTGGGGACCCAAAGATAAGTGATTGGAATCCATCAGCAGCTCCTCTGGAGAAAGATGGGCAATCTCCTTCCATGCAATTTACTGCCTCTGAAAACCTGCTGGAGGGTCAGCTGTGAGTCACTTCCATCTTGACAGCACACAGCACAGATGTCATTTGAGTCCATGAGTAGCTCAGGTGGCTGAGGACTCTGCTGTGAATGGAATGACTGGCAGTTTGAATGCATACAGAGGCACGTCTGGAGAAAGGTATGGTAAACTGCTTCAGTCACTGAAAATCCGATGGAACACAGCTCTGCTCTGAAACTCATAGCATCACCATGGATCAGAAGTGACTCGATGTCACCTAGGCAGTTTGGGTTTAGATGGTACCTGTTGGAGCTGGCTTTATATTTGAACTTCGCCTGTTAGTAGTTTGCCTGGAGGTCAGTTTGCACCATGCTACAGTCAGTCTGGTCGCTAGATTGTGAGTGAATGTCCTAGTCACTACCTCACACACTGTCTAGGGTGGCATAGTGTCTGCATAAATGGCCTTACCATGACACATCTCACAGGATAGCAAGCCATCTCGATATTTAAGTCATGATTCTATAAACAACTATATCATATTGCAGAAGATAAGTAAAGAAGAGATTCACGTACATTTTCTGGCCTGTGAGGGAAGCTATTTGAATGAGGAATGACACAGTAGATGTGGTCTCAAATATATCTCATCTGAGTTTGTGGATGCCACTAGAAAGTAATTCTCACAGATGAGTACTGGTGAGTTTAGAGGAGTTGTTATGTGCCACCGAGTCACCTGCGACTCCTAAGTGACTCTGTACAATAACTCTGAACTCTGCCCTACCCTGAGCCAGTCTCACTGTCTCTGACACACTTACCCCCATAACCCTGGTTACTATGTCAATCCATCTCATCTGGGGTCTTCCTCTCCTGTACTGTCTCTCCACCCTTCCAAACATGTGTCCTTCTCCAGGGATTTGTTCCTCCTGGCCACATGCTCAAAGTGTATGTGACAGAGCTTCAAAATCCTTGCCTCCAAGGAGCAGCCTGTTTTCATCCTCTCTTAGATTTGTTTGTTCTCTTGGCAGTCCATGGTATATTCAATACTCTTCTCCAACATCTCAACTCCAAGGTATCAATTCTTCTTCTGTCATCCCTAGTCATTGTCCAGCACTCTGATGCATAGCAAGTAATTCCAAAGACTATAGCCTAAATCAGGAGCACCTTAGTCTCCAGACTGACATTGCTACTCTTTAGTACTTTGGAGAGGTCCTTGACAGCAGATTTCCCCAGTGCAATTCTTCTTTTGATTTCTTGACCACTGGTACCAAGAGCTGATTGTGGATCTGAGCAAGTTGTAATTGTTAACAGTCTCAATCTCTTCTCCCTCTGTCATGATGCTGCCAATTCAGTGGTGAAAATCTTTGTTTCTTAATGTTGAGTTTCAATGCATGTTGAAGACTGCAGTCTTTGACCTTCTGCAGCAAATGTTTTAGGTCTTCTTCTGTTTCAGTGAGCAAGGTTGTGTCATCTGCATAATGTAGGTTGTTATTTAGTCTTCCTCCGATACTGATTCCAAAGGGATCACTTCAGTCAAGATGACTATTAGAAGAAATATCCTTACCCCTGCACACCCGAGGCAGAGCAGAGAAGTCTCAGTCTGCAAAAAGACTTACGCTCTCAGCTCTAACAGATAGGTTGGCATTTCAATGCCTACACCACGACCACTCCCCAGCTGCCAGAGGCTCCTAGGAAGAGATGTTTGACAAAATACTTCCAAAAAGTCAGCCACTGAAACCTCAATGGAGTAGAGTTCTACTCCCTCACACATGGGGTCACAACAAAGTTGGATTCAGCTTGAGGGTAATTGGTTTGGTTTTCTGGACTTTGAGGCAGAGCAAGCCCTGAATAGTCCCAAGAGTCTGCCTCCCTGGGCTTGCCACCTGTGGGCAGCTAAATGTGGGGAGCAGGGGGGCTCAGTGCTTCCAGGGGCCAGTCCTGGAAGGTTGACAAATCCTTTTGTAGTATCTTATCTTCTCTTAGACCCTAGCCAAACAGAAACTTAGCTGATTTAGAGAAATCTTTTGAATAAGTCCTACTTCCTTGTAGGGCATGCTTTGTGGTATGAGTGTAAATCATACACACGATGCCATCTTTTAAGAAGAATCAGACATGAGACATAGAGAAGGCTGTCCCACTAGAAAAATCCTTCCAGGATCCACTCTGAATTGGTATTAAAACTGTTGCAAGGCCGATGAACATTGCAAGGCCACTGAATGAAAGAAGTAGGGTAAAGGTTGTACAGCAGTGAAATCGAGCAAAACATAGGATTGAGGAGCTGCTGTTTCCCAGGTAGCCACGGCTTCAGGCTGCTTATATAAACATGATTTTTAAAGTTATCTCATTATATTGGCCACTCACCGAGGTTCTTCTTAGCATGAGGATGCTTGGCCCTTACTACGAACCTACAGGCAACCCGCCCCCACCACCACCACCAGAACTACAGACCCATTTTGAATGCAATCTTGAGAGTGTACAGTAACTTCGCAACACTAGCAAGGTTTTTTTCCTCAGCTGACTGTGTTGTGGGGGAAGGAGAGTACGTGGGAACAAGAGGGCAGCTTGCAAGACTGTGTGGGAACATCAGAGGTGTAGCCAACACCAAGCCATCAGAAATTCAATTCTTTCAGTACTTGGCAAATTCCTGAAATTGCAGATGCCCTTTTACCTCAAAGGGAGCCATTCTCCGTAGAACTGCGCTTCTATTGTTTGCACACATCTCAGGGCTCTTGGAATTTGTGTCCCAGGCACTTCCTCTTGGGGTGATCTACTACTTTTATGGTTTCAGTTTGGCCTGGAGGTTGTACTGCCAGAATCTACTAGCCTGTTGTTGGTAGTTGGGGGTCGATGTTGACTGGTGGTTGACCCCCTATGTGCTGAGCAGAGCTGCTCTGTGGGCATTCTTAGCTGCAATTTTAATGGGAGCGTTAATATTAAGGTTAATCCCCAGACCTTTCCTTTCTCTATTCCAATAAGCAAATATGAACCACCAATCTTCAGTTAGCAGTTGAATACAAACAGTTGGTGCCACTTAGGGACATTTGAAATGGCTTTAAAATTGTCCATGTTAGTGGTGAAAGTAGGAATGATAGGACAGGACTACAACTGATATTGGATAACCAACAATGGATTGGACACTAGGGACAAACAAAGCAAAAGAGAAGCAGAGTGGAGATCTGAATGCGCCCGGGCCTGGATAAAATGTTGTCAGGCAGATGGAATTTTCCAGACGCTCCTTTATTACCACTTGTTCCATGCGTAGGTGTTTTTGTCTTGGATCTTCGGGGAGTTAGACTAGCTTTTAGAGCGATTAAATGAAATTGTGAAGCTCGTAGTACACACAGATCCCTGGCTTAATACTGGGAAATTTGGAACTCAGCCTGTCCAGTATTTTGTAGTTTGATGGTCCTTACGTGCTCCCAAGAGCCAGGATTTTTGATATGTAGCACAAGCTCTCAGAATCAAGCTACTAAAACTTTTGTTGAAAGGAATCAAGGTTGCATCTGCTCTTAAGAGGAGAAACCTAAAGGACCTAGAATGTCTCTCAGCCCCACTTCTCTCCCTTCCTCAACCCAGGTGATCATGGTAACAGGTGATCATCCCATTACAGCCAAGGCTATTGCCAAGGGTGTGGGCATCATCTCAGAAGGCATGGAGACAAAAGAGGACATGGCTGCCCGCCTCAATATCCCTGTTAACCAGGTTAATCCCAGGTAGGTGCTAAAACACTCAGACCCAATATTTTTCTCTTCATTCCTAGCCTGCTTCTGCCAGGTCGCATTTACTAAATCTCTTAGAGGTTCCTCATTACGTAGGATATGTGAGGTTGACATATTACAAAGTCAGACCTAATAAGAAAATGGTCAAGTGTTCAGGGCACGTTGGACATAGGAAGAATAGAAAAAGGAAGTAATAGTTGGGGAAAGTGGGGAGGCAGGAGCAGGTCTGGAATGAGTTGATTTGGGACAGTTATGACTGGGGGCAAATGTGGAGATGGAGTTGAAAGGAGAAGCAGTAAGAAGTTACACATTTGTTCTGGGGGCATTTGTTGTTATGGACCCTTGAGTCGGAACCAACTCACAGCTGGCCCTCCAGCAGGCTTTCAGAGGCTGTAAATTGCATGGAAGGAGATTGTCCATATTTCTCTCGAAGAGTAAGTGGTGTATTGGTACCATATCCCTTTTTGTTGGCTGTGCAACTCCTTACCACCAAGCCCCCTAAGAAATTCTCAGTGCTCACAACCGGACTTGTGAAATTCTCTCCCTCAGGAATGTCAAAGCCATTGTGGTGCATGGCTCAGAACTAAAGGATTTGTCATCAGAGCAGCTTGATGAGATCCTCAGGAACCACACAGAGATTGTGTTCGCCCGGACCTCTCCTCAGCAGAAGCTCATCATCGTAGAAGGGTGTCAGAGGCTGGTAAGGAAGTAAAGGACCCCAGGGGGGCCAGGTAGACACCATGTGGCATAGCCCAGTCCTAGCGGAAGAACATTATTCCAAGAAGAACATGTGATTGAGGCTAGAAGAAACCTGAAAAAGTCTACGGGCTTCTGTTCTGGGGGCCCTTCCCTGAGCGTCTCACTATTGCAGGATGGATAGGAGGGAGAAGGGTCTCAGACTCCTAGAAAAGGCATGATTGTATCAAGAAACGAAGGATGCTGAAATCAAACTCACCGGTGGGTCTGGTCCCAGTGAGACACATTAAATATTTCATTCCTGCTGTTTGGACTATCCTAAGGGCGCCATCGTGGCAGTGACGGGTGACGGGGTGAACGACTCCCCTGCGCTGAAGAAGGCCGACATTGGCATCGCCATGGGCATCGCTGGTTCTGACGTCTCTAAACAAGCAGCCGACATGATCCTGCTGGATGACAACTTTGCCTCCATCGTCACAGGCGTGGAGGAGGGTGAGGAAGCAGGGTGACCAGAGCCGAGACTTGATCCTGAGCCTCTGGTGGGGGTTGGTCAATGTTACCACTATTCCTTCACCCCTAAATCTCCATGGCCCTATTCAGTCTTAGAAAAGCTACTACAGTATGAGATTTTTTTTTCCAGTTAGTCAGCTAGTACTTATGTTACCGCAAAACCCCAGATCTGCTGCCTGCTGCTGAAAGCCAATCCTGGAGACAGGTGTGGGGTGAAATCAAGGCTTTATTATGTGGTGGTATATAGGAGACAGGGGTTATGAGCTCCTCAGATCTGTCTCTCCCTCTGGAGGCCCAGGGGAGATTTCTTTAAGGAAAGGCATAATTGACAGTCATGTCTCACATACAGCTGGGTCCTGATCAAGTCCGACCAGCCTCACTGTTGTTCTGCATGTAGTTGGTTCCCTCCTGTGTGTGACATGGGGGTCCTCATTGTTCACTGAGCTGTCTTTAGTCAAGTAAATGGAGCTTAATATAGCAATCAACCTTTAACTATAAACCACAAAGTCAAGCAGGAAGGACTTCAGCTTGGACTGTAGCTAAAACTAATGCTAAGCAGAAATCTTTTTGCCCAATTAACTATTCTTCTATTCAGCAGCTACAATCACCAATTTTTGCCTGTAGATTTCCCAGTCTTGGGAAACAGAGTAATGGCCCTTTCTGGCTACTTCCTGCTGAAAGGGGCTAATGAAAAGCTCAGGGAAAAGGCACTTGTTTTTCTGACTTAAGGCATAGAACCTGGTGGATGTGCTGAGATGAAACATCACTATGTTATTTTTGAATCCCATGTCAGGTTCCTCTCAACTAGTAGAGCAGTATATTTAATCAGTGCAACGACTTCATTCACTTTCACAGTGTTAGGCTCCTTTGACTACAGTTTACAACAAACATGGGGTATAGTCACAAATTAGAATCCCAATAATTCAGTTGTTAAAGGAGTAAGCCAAGGAAGTGGGGAAAAGGTTATTAAAACTTGCTTAAGCTCTGTGACTTTAAGTTTACCATCTCTCATCAGTTTATAATAATGTTGTGGTGTAATCTCCTTTTGGTTATGCTCTGGGCAAAGACAGGGCCATCCTTGAGTCTCTGTGCCCTCTGGAAGGGGCAGGGGCTTCTATATCTCTGGCAAATACAAGCCACTTGCTGCTACGGCCTTGGTCTTCAAGGCCACCCTAGCAAGTATTACATAACAACGGCCCGGCAAGCAGAAGTAAGTTAACAGCAAGCAGGAATAGCCGTATTCTACCTTGTAAAACCCTCTTCCCGTGCATCCCATCCCTCACAGCCAGCTCTTACAATCTGGTGCAAAACACTTGAAGGCCTTGAGATGGGACATCACAATCAGATAAATAGGAACAGAGAGCGTTGCTTCCTTTTCAGCCACAGGCTACAGCTGTAATAGAGGCAAAACAGTCTTATTCCCAGAGAAAGATCAACATTCAGCATAAACCCTTGCCAGCCAGAGGGGAAGGAGGAAAAATCCAGCAGCCATAGCACGTCTGCCACCAGGGGTGTCCAAGGCCTGCTTTGGTCACATGGCTAACAAATCAGTGCTGTTCCAGTAGGAGGCCGGGATACAGGGGTAACAGTCAGGAGCCACTGGAGCACATGTCCTGCCTCGGGCAACGGTCAGATGTCCACAGCCATTGTGTTGTGGAGGACCACTTTCTTTATCTGAGTGATTTCGGCAGTTAATAGCCAAGAGCTTGCCCTGCTGCCATTCAGAGCATGTTTTCACAGCTTAACAACAATTAAAAAAAACACACAACAAAAACCAAACCACAACCCAACAACAACAAGAAGTTAAAAATAATACTATGGACAATATTGCACTCCATCCACCTGCCTTATTTCTTTTAAATACTATGCAGAATATTTCAGGGTTTGTTTTATTTTTTTAATTCATTATTTGCTAGGGAGCTTAGTGGTCTAGTGAGTAAAGAGTTGCGCTGCCAACACAATGACAAGCGGTTCAAATCCACCAGCCGCTCCTCAGGAGAAAGATGGAAAACCTCCTCTCATGCGATTTACTGCCTCTGAAAACCCACTGGAAGATCAGTAGTGAGTTGTTGGTTCCAACTCAACAACACATAACAACAATATTATTTGCTGGTGTTAAAAAAAAAGGAAAGGAATAAAATTCTTTTCCTTTCATAATTTCTACAACTTGCTGCATGCTTTCATTCTCTTTTATTTTATTTTTATTCTCTTTAATATTCTGGCAGCACCAGACAATCTACTTCAAGACAAAAATTACTCTTAAAAAAAATTATGTGTGTTATTATCCTTCCTTTTGGTCGGTCATAGAGGCTCACACGCCGAGGGTTGTTGAGTCAGTTATAGCTAGAGTCTTTATGTTTTGAAACACATCTTTAGTGCTTAAGAAAGAGGCTCCTCCACAAACCTAACAGCTTCTTTTATGGTAGACTACATCAAAGTTGAGAGCTGACTGTAGGAAGACAGTGACAGACACAAAGAGAAGAAAAATCAGAGTAGGCATACTTAGAGTTGAAAAGACGCTTAGTAAGTATAAAGAGGGTTAAGTCTTTCCTGTCGGGATCACCCTAGTGACTTTTCTTTGAGTGGTGAGAAACATTTGCTGTCTTGGGCATTTTCCCTGCAAAGTGTACCTACCATGTGTCCTGTCCTGGAGAGGTCACCTGAGGCTCTGCCAGACCAGTCACTTGTTTTGTTGTATGCCAGATAAGGAGGCCTGCTTTCATCCCTTGTGCTACATTGTCTTAGTCCTGGTGCAGTGTGACTGTTGAGGCCCTCCTGACGCAGCACAGAGGGTTTCCAAGTGAGGTCCATCCATTCTTCTGTTCCCAAAGGGGTGAAGCAGCACATCTTCCCTAAGGGGGTTGGCCGACAACAAATGTCAACACATGGTCCTACTTCGGACCATGCACCTTTGCTTTGGCAACAACCTAGGCAGAAATGCTTCCAGAGTCTGAAATGACACTTGTGTCATTGTTGAGGGAACTTCATGTTTGGCATATAAGGGCTGAAGGCCTTCAGGGGAAGTAAACTTTAGCCTCTTCCAAAGCCTCAGGCAGCACTTTATTTCACTCCGTCAGGGAAATTTTGCTAGTTGGTTACAGTGAACCCTCACATCTTATATGTCTTTTCTTACTCCCATGGTTCATTTATGGGTACCTCCAACATATGTGCAGGGATTGGAGACCAGAGTTCATTGGTGACGACCATTTATGTGGTTTGTAGCTTGTAGCTTGCTCAGTTGATTGCTTTGCCTTGAGTCTATTTCACCCCAGTTGGAGCCGCCGTGTACAAGGTGACTGCTGGCAACGAGCCCTCTCTTCTCTCGGCAGCATGCCAGCCTGCCCTGAGAGACATCATCTTGACACGAGACCCTTCTCCTGCTGTGCCTACTGTTTTTACTTGCACAATCAACTTACTTTCTCAAGACATTCTCTTCTTCTCGCCTCAATCCCGAGAGGAATTCTTGTCTTGCCAGGCAATAGAGTGGTCTTAAGCACTGTGAAATAATATTTTTTTAGAATTTTAATTAGAATATTAACACTAAAGGATCCACAAAGGTCCATACTTTCTGTTGATATCATAGGGTTGGGATAAGTCGGTTCTTTGGCTTCAGGCAGCACAAGGTTTTACCCAATCAGATTTCTCTGAATGAAACTAACTGGTTTATCGCAGTCATGGTGGGAGATGGTTACAGGAATTGTACCAACCTACCAAGAAACATTCGAAAGTTTACGGTTCAACTTCTTCCCCAAAGGTGGGTGATTAAACAATCAGTGACAAAGGGTGGAAATATGCAAATATCTATGGCACAGGACCAACAAGGTCTATTGTGGCTTGTGTTTGATTTTGACCAGTGTATTAGAACTTCTCAAGCACAGGGCCCTGATCTTATTTCAGAGGTTCAATTTTTTTGTGACCAAGGCTCTTCCAAACCCTAGTCTCTTGGGGTTGAGGGGGTCTACCCCGAGCCCAGGAAAGTTTTTTCTATGGGAAGGGTAGTAGAATGCAAAAGGTTTCAAATTTTTCCAAAGTTGACTCAAAACTGCAACTGGTTCCTCTTCCTCTTCCTATTATTCTAATTCATAGTGTTTTTACCCTCCTCCCTGACAACCTCTGTCTCAGATTACTTCTAAGTCTTCTCAAGGGATTTCTAGATGGCCAACCAGAAGGTTTCTTCCCTTCTTCTTCTTCTTCTTCTTTATTTTTTTACAATTCCCTGTGGACTATGCCACCAGACCTCTTTTTTTTAAATTTGAAACATGGTAATAGGGAAGGAATAATAAAAACTTTGCTGTGGGGGGAGGGGGAAATTGGACAGTAATACAAAATTCACTGAGAAAAGAGATAAGGAATAGAAAAGAGAGCACCTAATTCTCAAATTCTGAAAGTTTGGGGGAAAGCAGGTGTGGTGAACCCTGAGAAGATGTTTGTCATTTTTTTCCCCTACCTTTTGGTCTTTTTTTAAAAAATTAATTTTTTATTAATTTTAATGAACATTTACAGAGATTTTGAATTTCCATTCATTCATTGTTGCACTTTACTCCCTACCCACCCCCCTCCCCCCAATTCACTCTTCTCTTGAAAAGAAAGAAAAACTCTTTCATTGTTATGCAATCCCTCCCCCCCAAGTCC